TGACCCTCCGACAGCGCGGCACTCCCTCGGCACTGACCCTCCGACAGTGTGGCACTCCCTCAGTAATGAACCTCTGACAGTACAGCACTCCCTCAGTATTGGCCCCCTGACAGAGCTGCTCTCTCTTATTGCTGCAACTCAGTTACCTGCCTAGAGTCAGGATGAAATTTCTAGACTTGGACTTGATCTCACAAGTGCTACCAACCGAGTCACACCTGGTAAAATAGCAATGCCCCACTTTTGAAGGTTAGAGCAACAAATAAACAACACCATGTTATAATTTTACCATTGCACGGACGCTCCCTTAGACTTACCAATGAAATTCAAATATCCCTCTCCTCCCAGAGCATGTGTGATGAGACGGATCATTTTGTGCAACTGCATGCCGCGATCCACTACCATCGTGAAGGGTGTCAGAACACTCATGTTCGTGTACATCTCAGCGTCCATCAACCAGAATGCTAATGTCTTGTCCCCAACAAGGGCCTATGTAACAAAAACTAAATGAGTGCAAGGTATCTGACGGGCTTGTGAGGAACACGAAATGGAACACCCTGCTGGATTCACATTAATAAATCACTAATCATCATCAATATGTGATACTGTGACCACAAACATAGGATGGTGTCTTTCTGGCAAAGACGGTTAATGGGTAATTTAAAGAGGTTTCAAAACCAGAGTTTGATAGTAAACAGAGAGAAATTGTTTTCAATGGCAGGAGGGCTATAAGCAGAGGAGGAAGATTTAGAACAATTGTCAAAAGTACCACTAGGACAATGAGGATAAATCTTTTTATATAGCAGGGTGTTGTAATCCAGAATGTGTAGCCTACAAAGTGTGATGGACGTAGTTTCAATAGTAACTTCCAAAAGAGAATCAGATCAATACCTGTAAAATGTGCAGACATATTGGTAAAATGAAGAGTGGGACTAAATGGATAGTTCTTTCAAAGAGCCATAATGGGTCAAATGGCCTCTTTCTGAATTGTATGACAATGAAATATTGATTACACGAAAACTATTATGGATTCAGTTTCCATGCACTTCCTAGCATGTTACAGAAAGCCAAATGGGAAGTTTAGCTTGTTTGATCCTCCTTTCAAAAAGAGATGCAATTCTTGCTGCTGGTGAATTCCACAGGCACAAAGCAGACACCACTGTGACTGTTTTCACATCACACCAATCATCAATTGACACACATCCTGAACTCATTCAATGCTTCCAGGAAGCATCATGGAACAGGATCAGTCAAGGAGTATTAAAGTCAATGAAACCTTTTTGACCACTTTCAGCTGAGTACAGTTAACATACTTTAAAAAAAAATACTTTTGTACTGTAAAACATCGCAAAGTGTTAAAATTTAATTGGTTGCAAAGTGCTTTGGAACGTCCAATGGACATGAAAAACTGTACATAAACACCATCCTTTTCATTATTCTTCCGACTGGAGCAATGTTTCAATAAGGTTGACACAAAGGTACAGGTAAACAAGAGCTCGCTTAAAGATGTTGAGCAGTGTTTTGGTAAGGCATCTGACAAGGTCTACAGGACAGGCTGGTCAATAAAATTAAAGACCATTGGATACAGGGAAATATGGCAAATTAGATCCAAAATTGGTGGAGTGACAGGAAGCAGAGGTTAATAGTCATCAGATATTTTTGTGAATGGAGAGAAGTTTGCTAGTAATGTTCCCCAGGGTTCACTTTGGGTCCCTTGCTGTTTGTGGTTATGTAATAATGATTCAGACTTAAGTTTTGGAAGTGTGACTGGAAAATTTACAGATGACACAAAGATCAGTTGAATAATAGATCGAGTAGAGGACGGCCATCAACAACATAATGATAAATGGTTTGGCTGAATGGATAAACAACTGGCAAATGGAACTCAATCTGGAGAAGTGAGAGAAATTACGCATTTAGAGAGGGCAAACAAAGCAAGGGAATACATAGTAAACTACACACTACTGTAATGAGTACAGGATGAGAGACCTTGTAATGTATCTGGACAGGTCCTTGCAGGTGGCAGGTTTAGGTGAATACAGTAGTAAAGACGATATGGAATGCCTTCCTTTCTTGGTCGAGGTATTGAAAACAAAAACAGCGATATCATGTTGGAACTATACAAGACACTGGTTAGGCCACAGCTGGAGTTTTGCATATAGCTTAGTCACCATGTTACAGGAAGAACATAATTACTCGAGAGCGCAGAAAGGAGGTTTACAGGAATGCCAGGGCTTGAAAACTGCATCTATGAGGGAAGATTTGATAGGGTTATTTTCTTCAGAACGGAGGAGGCTGAGAGGTGATTAATTGAGGTGCACTAAATAATAAGGATCTTTGACAGAGTGGACAGGAAAGAGCTGTTTACCTTTGCAGAGAGGTTAATTAACAGGGGATACAGATTCTAAGTGCTTGGTAGAAGCATTACACGGGACATGAGGAAACAGGCAGAGGGTGGTAGGTCTCTGGAATTCACTATCAGTTTTGGTGATTATGGTGGAAATCTTCATCCTATTTGAAAGAAGTCTGGATCCACACCCGAAGCACTGTAACCTGCAAGATTACAGCCTAAATGCTGGAAAGTGGGGTTAGAATGCCTGACTAACTAATTCAGACAGGATTAGTGGAATGTCCCGTTTCTATGTCCTAAACTAACTATAGTCCTAGGTTTAGAGGTGAAGAGGTTTAAGGAGAGAATTCCAGAGCCTGGGACTTCGGCAGCTACAGCACATCCACCTATGGCAGAACGGTTATTAAAATCACACTTTGGAGGCTATATGACCCATCTATACCAGATCTCAAAGTAAGCATTTCATTTAATGCCATTATCCTGCATTCTCTCCCAGTTAAAAAAAAACAAATTCCCTCTTTAATGCCTTGATTGAAACTGGCTCACCAAAAACTCAAGCCACATTCCAGACCCTAACTACAAGTTGTCTATTACCATTTACGTTAAATCTAAGCCCTTGCATGCTTGAGCCTTTCATGAGTGGGCACAGTTTCTCCCATCTACTACTCTGTTCAGATCCTTGAGATTTTGAATACCTCTATAAAATCTTCTCCATTCCAAGGAAAGCCGTTCAGATTTCTCCAATCAATCTTCATAACTTCATAATATCTTCATATTCTTCCTGAAGTATGCTACCCGTGATTGAATGTAATACTCCATCTAAACCTGAGGCTGAAGCAGGAGTCACAGTCTGGAATACAGAGTGTTGAAGTGTGCAGAAGGCAGTCAATTGAAGTAGTCAAGATGGCATGGTTTCCATCCAAATAATCAGAGAACGTGTAAATGGGGAAAACGCAGCTAAATAATACTGGCCATACTGTTCAGTTAAGAGTTTGTAGAGTTGGGATTAGTATATCAGTATGGATAGAGAATTAGCCAACTAAGAGAAGACAAAGTTATGATAAAGGTATCGATTTGATGATGGTCACCTGTAACTAGTGAAGTGCCACAGGCATCAGGGCACGTATTTACAATACATATTAATGATTCGGATAAAGTGAATGTACTATTACTGAGTTTGCAGATGACACAAAGATAGGGAGGGTGAGTAATGAGGATGACACTAAGAGTCCACAGAGGGGTAGAGACAGGTTGAGTGAGTGGGAATAAACTTGGCCGATGGAATTTAGTGAGAGAAAATGTGATGTTATGCATTTTGGCAGGAAGAAAAGAGGAGCTGAATACTATTTAAATTGAGAGAGATTGTCGAAAGCAGCAGCACAGAAGAGTTTGAGAGTTCTCATGCACAAATCACAAAAAAGGTTTGGTGCAATAGGGGAGATAAATGGAACATTTGTTTTTATTTCAAAGGGAATGGAATATAAAAATAGGAAAGCCTGGTTAAAACAGTACAATGCACTACAGACTACACCTAAAATATCATTTTCGTTCTGATTGCCAAAGATGGATATGCTGCCATAGGAGGCAGTCGAAAGAAGGTTCACTAAGCTGATTCAGGGTATGGTGGGATTTTTCGATAAGGAGATGTTAAGTAGGTTGGGCTTGTACTCATCGGAGTTGAGAATAAGAGGTGACCTTTTATTGAAACATCCAAGGTTGTTAGGGAGCTTGGCAGTGTAGATACGGAAAGGTCATTCTCCGTTGTGGGAGAGGCTAGGACTACAGGGTATAATTTCAGAATAAGAATTCAAACATTTAAGACAGAGGTGAGGAGGCATTTTATCTTAGAGAGGTGTGAATCCATGAAATTATTTACTACAGAGGACTGTCAATGCCAGGTTATTAAATATTCAAGGCTGAGAGAGACAGATTTTTAATCAGTAAGGGATCAAAGGTTACAGGGAAAAGCAAGAAAGTGGAGTTGCGGATCATCAAATTAGTTATGATCTCATTAAATGGCGGGCAAATGGCCTCATTCTGTGTAATGATTCTGTGATAATACAAATCAACACAATCTCCTCGCTCTTGTACTCTATTAAATAAGCTTTCAATACTAGCACTGAATACCGGAATACTGAAGAGGCCAGAATGGGACACAACATCAAAATCAGTGAGTGATTAGGATGTTGGGTGAAAGGGACTTGGTGACAATCAAGACATGAGTAATAGACCTTTGGATCGTTTCAGAGTAGAAAATTGGAGGGTGACTAGAGGCATGTTGGAATAATGACATCTCAAAATAATGAAGAAAGCCTATTAGTTATATAGTGCCTATAACACACAAACGTTCAAAGGTGCTTCACAAGGGTACTATAAAGTAAAGTTTGCCTCTAAAATACATGAGACTTGATCAAATAAGGTAGGCTTTTTGTCTTAGAAGGAAAAAAAATAGAGAAGTCAAGAGGCTGGAAGGTGCAGGGAGGGGATTCCAAAGCTTAGGGCCTAGGCGACTTAAAGGTATGTCTATCAATGGTGGAGCGATTACATCAGGGATGTTTGAAAGGTCTAAACTAGAGTAGTGCAGATATCTCAGAACACTGAGGGACTGCATGTGATTGCAAAGACAGGGAGGGGCAGAGAAGCTACAAAGGGATTTGAAAACAAGGAGGAGAATTTTAAAGTCAACTCACACCTTGACTGAGTGCCAATGTAGGTCAGCAAACACACGGATAGTAAGGGAGTTGCTCAGAGTTGACAACCAAGTAGCAGAGTTCTCAACTGGAGGATCCAACATGCATTGGAATCATCATTGGTGAGAGGTACAGAGTAAAGATGAGCTGAGATGAAGTCCAGTCAGGCAATAAAACAGAAGAGGAAGCAGGCCATCCCAGTGATGAGATAACACTGTGGAGCTGGATGAACACAGCAGGCCAGGCAGCGTCAGAGGAACAGGAAAGCTGATGTTTCGGGTCTGGACCCTTCTTCAGAAATGGAGAGGGGGCGGGGGGTTGGGGGGCTACCCATTTCTTTTTTTATTTCTGAGCTCTCCTCCCCATCCCTGTGTTCCTCCAGCTCCACATTTTGTTATCTCTGACTCCAGCATCTGCAGTTCTTGCCATCTCATCCCAGTGATGAAATGGACAGCTGGTCAGTGCGCACAGTTCCAACAAGAACATAGGGTGAACCAATTCTGGACAAGGGATTACCTGGTCATGGCTCTCGGCATAGGCGATACACTTCTCTCCATACCGCCGGTTTGTTAATGTGTAGACAATATTACCCATGTTCCAGTCTTCATCCTTCAACTCTTTCAATATCTGCAGTCATTAAGAGGAGTTACAGTTTACACATTGTCCCTGTGGCACAAACACTTAGTTAAAACTAAATCACATTAGACAGAGTCTGAAAGTGACAATCAAAATTGGTTAAAAATTTCATTATCTATTTTCCATCAGGCACCCCAGTCCTTTCGTATTAAAACAGATTAAATTTATACGCAAATTTTTCTGCAGTTATTATGTAATAGAAAAGCAATTAAGTCACAGGTAACAGATAAAAATTCTGTGGCAATAGCTGACTTGTTTTACAAATCAGATAATAGCACCACTAATTCTGTTTGAAGAGACAGAATCTAGGTTCAACCAATCACAGGATTTTTAATCCAGCTGCACACAAAAGTCGCCAAAAAAAAAAAAGCTGGCAGATGTCACTGCAACTATAGGCACAATTAGGAGGTCTTGCTCACTGCTATGCACTGTCTGTAACCATGGTAAAAAGAAACATAGAAGGTGCATTAATATTTCAAAACAGAAAAGAAAGAATCGTTTGTGTTTCAGCTGAAGACTTTTCGTCGGAAGAGTTCTGACAAAAACATTGTACGTGCAATGTTAACCTATCCTTTTGAATTTCAAATAATATCGACTCATTGTGTGTTTCCAGCATTATAGAATCAGGGGCTGAATGACACAGGGTGCCATGGATCCACCATCCATCCTCTTACCTAAAATGTCAAGGGAGAAGTCTCGTACAGGGAAAAATGACTGCCCTGCTGCTATTTTGCAGCTAATTAGCTGTTGATGGGCAGAAAGCACGATATTCACACTTAGGGACAATTATTTAGGGTGTCAATTAGCCCACAGTTAGGCAGGTTACCCATTAAAATCCTAGGGGGAGCAGACCCCCACTGGATTCAATTTGCCCTCACCCCTGCCATGAGGGAGCATTCAATCCATAATGCACAGGAGGTTGCCATTCAGTCCACTGTGCCAGTTCATTGAAAGAGATATCCAGTTAGTCTCACACCTTTACTCTTTCTTCGTTGCCCTGCAGTTATTCTTCCATTTCAACTGTGCACCAATCCATCTGCCCTTGGAGGAGCGCATTCCAGATATCGACAAAACTGTGTAACACTAAAATCTCTTCATCAATGTGAGAACTAGCTGTCTTCTAACCATATATAGAATCAAATGAACAGAAATAGCTCTCCTCCTGATTGAGGAAAGTATGACAGAAGGCAACTGACATGAGACAATGCTCTGGTCCCTAGGGGGGAAAGAAGGTAAATTAATGGGGACACGTGAAGGAAAGAACATCAGTTCGGACAGAAAAGATTTTCAAAGGTGATCCAGGCTAGCTCTGGACTAGCTCCCTCAATAGCTCAAGATGACTTCAGGCCAAACTATATCTGCAATAGGTTCAGTTGAAACTTTGGTTAGAAGACATAGTTGAGAAAAGACTGCCACAATCAGCTACAGAAATCAGCATCACACAGAGCTTATGATTAAAAAGAGGATAGTCACACTGTGGCGTGTGCATTACAGGCTCTGTCAGCAGGGCACAGAGGAACAGATATGTCGACGGTTCAACGGGGTGTGTAAAAATAACAATGGGGTAATTAAATTAGGGGATTTCAACTTCTCCAACATAAATTGGAAAGTGTAAAGGGCTTAGAAGGGGCAGAATTTTTTAAAACATGTTCAGAAGAACTTTTTACAGACGGTCCTGCAAGGGACAGTAGAGTGCTGGACCAAATTCTGGGAATAAAGCCAGACACTTGTTTGAGTCGGCAGTGGGCAGCATTTTAGTGATAGCAACCCCAATGTTACATTTTAAATGTGTTATGGAAAATGATCTTCAAAAAAAAAGCGTTTTTGGATTGGGGGAAGGCCAGCAAGATTAGGGAGAACCCAAAGATATGCTGCAAGTATAATGAGGGAAAGAGGATAACCAGGAGAAGACTGGGGCCTACGAGGGATCAAAGGGGCAATCTGAGCTGCAGGACTTTGGTCGGGTGTTAAATGAGTATTTCAGATCTGTCTTCATCAAGAGGAGGAGGATGCAAGGACAGAATTTGGGAAGAGGGACTGAGAGATTCTTGAGCAGTTCGCCATAATCAGTGAGGAGGCACTGGAGGCTTTGGCAGCTTAAAAGTGGACGAATCCCCAGGTCCAGTTAGATTATATTTGAGGCTGCTGCAGGAGATGAGGGAAGAAATTACAGGTGCTCAGACCCAAATGTTTAGTTCCTCTTTGGCCACATGACAGGCGCCAGAGGACTGGCAGACAGCTAATGTGGTTCCACTTTTCAAGAAGGGTGGTAGAGATAAACCAAAGAAATACAGACTAGTGAGTCTCACATCAATGGCACAGAAACTATTGGGAGAAAAATCTGAAGGAGGTAATTAACCTTTACTTAGGAGAGGCAAGGTTTGAATAGGAATACTCAGCATGGTTTTGTCAGACGATGCTCATGTCTAGATTTTGTTGAGTTGTCCAGGCATGCAGAGGACTGTGACGCAGCTGATGTAGTTTATTTCATAATGGATTTTAGCAAAGGGCTTGACAAAGTCCCACATGGGAGACTAATAAAGAAGATGAGGACATGGGATCCAGGATAACTTAATATATTGGATCCAAAACTGGTTTAGTGATTGGAGGAGTGAATGGTGGTAGAAGGCTGTTTGTGTGAAAAGACTGGTGTCCAATGGTGTACTAGAACATAGAACTGTACAGCACAGTACAGGCCCTTCGGCCCACAATGTTGTGCCAAACTTTTACCCTAAACCTAAGGTCTATCTAACCTCCACCCCTATCTTATACTATCATCCACATGCCTATCTAATAGCTGCTTAAATGCCCCTAATGAGGCCGAATCCACTACCCTCTCCAGCAATTCATGCCATGCCCCTACCACTCTCTGAGTAAAGAACCTACCTCTGAAGTCTCCCCTATATCTACCTCCACTCACTTTAAAACTATGCCCCCTCATAATAGCTACCTCCACCCTAGGAAGAAGTCTCTGGCTGTCCACTCTATCTGTGCCTCTGATCATATTGTACACCTCTATCAAGTCACCTCTCATCCTTCGTCGTTCTAAAGAGAAAAGCCCTCGCTCTCTCAATCTTTCCTCGTAAGACCTTCCCTCCATTCCAGGCAACATCCTGGTAAATCTCCTCTGCACCTTTTCTAACGCTTTCACATCTTTCCTGTAACGAACTGGACCAGAACGGGACACAACACTCCAGATGTGGCTGAACCAGGCTTTTGTATAGCTGGAGCATAACTTCACAGCTCTTGAACTCAATCCTTCTATTAATGAAAGCTAACACACCATACGCCTTCTTAACAACTCTATCCACCTGGGTGGCAGGTTTCAGGGAACTGTGGACATGAAACCCAAGATCCAGCTGCTCCTCCACGCTGCCAAGAATCTTTCCGTTAACCCTGTATTCTGCTTTCAAGTTTGTCCTTTCAAAATGAATCACCTCACACTTTTCAGGGTTAAACTCCACCTATAGGGATCTGCGCTGGGTCTGTTAATAAGTGATATGTATAAACAATATTAAGAAAATGTGCTGGGGAGGGATGATGATAAGTAAGTTTGCCAATGATATGAAGATTGGCCAGGTGGTTGACAGTGATGCAGAGAAGATTTGGACGGATTGTTCAGGTCGGCAGATGGACTTAACCCTGAAAGGTAAGAGATGGTGCTCTTCAAATGACGTAACAAGGAAAGGGAGTCCTCAATGAGCGGTAGGACACTAAGAAACCCAGAGGAACATAGGTATCTTGGGGTGCTTCTCCACAAATCCCTGAAGGTGGCGGGCAGGTTAATAAGGTAGTTAAAAAGGTATACAGGACACTGTCTTTATCAGTTGTGGCACACATAATAAGAGCAGAGAGGTTACGTGAGAGCCGTACAAACCTTAGGCTCAGCCACAGCTGGAGTACTGTGTGCAGTTCTGGTTACCACACTATAGGAAGGATATTATTTCAGAGGAGATTCACCAGAATGCTGTCTGGGATAGAGCACTTTAGCTATGAAGAGAGATTGGATAAGCTCAGGTTGTTTTCTTTGGAATAGAGAAGGCTGAGGGGGAACCTCATTGAGGTGTATAAGATTATGATGGACAAGGACAGAATGGATAGAAAGCACCTGCTCCCCTTTATTGATGGGTCACAATGGGGCACAATTTTAAGCTGAAAGGCAAGAGGTTCAGAGGGAATTTGAGGAAAATCTTTTCACCTGATGCCGAGGAGTGTATTAGAGGTGGAAAACCTCGCAAACTTCAAAAAAGGTATTTAGATGAGCACTTGAAACATTCACACAATGTTATAACATTCAGGCTATGGGCCAAGTGATGAAAGGTCAAACTAGTGCAAACCTAAATGGACCAAAGGGCCTCTTCTGTACTGTACAATTTTCTGATTCAATGCTTCACTATATGTTTAATAGATCCTAAACTAGTGAACGCTTCTCATCTGTGATAACAAGGTGTAGAGCTGGATAAACACAGCAGGCCAAGCAGCATCAGAGGAGCAGGAAGGCTGACGTTTCGGGCCTAGACCCTTCTTCAGAAATTTTCTCATCTGTTACAGATTCAATGCATCTATCTCTAACTCCTGTATTGTATTTCACCTGTTGATTGTGATATCAAATTATCTAAAACTTTGATCCCCTGGTCCTTTGGTATAATCTGTGACTCCTAGATGAAAGCTTACACATTTATTCTCTGGTCTTTAACCATAAGTTGGCAACCTCTTCCTATGTTAGGTTGGCTCCCATTCTCAACATTCTTCTCATTGTGAAACACGAGAATGAAGAAGAGTCACCAGATTCACAATGTTAATTCTGCTTTCTCCCCACAGATGCTGCCAGACCTGCTGAGTTTCTCCAGCATTTTCTGTTTCAGATCTCCAGCATTCACAGTTCCTTGTTTTATTGTTATGAAAAATAATAATCAGTTTGGCTCATCAAACCTAATGTACCTTTTATTACACAAGGCTGATCTGTACCATGATACTTTCATCCAGCAGTA